TTATTACTCCAAGAAACCATAAGAGATCTACATAAATGAAAGAACATACCATGCTCATGGATAGGAAGATTGGACATTATGAAAATGTCAATACTATCCAAAGCAACCTATACATTCAATGCAATCCCAATTCAGATCCCATCAACATTCTTTAAGGATATGGAAAAAAAACAGTCACTAACTTTATACAGAAAGGAAAAACACCTTGAATAAGCAAAACACAATCGAAGAGGAAAAACAAAGGAGGAAGTCTCATACTCCTGGATCTCAAAACCTACCATACAGTCGCAGTAGTCAAAACAGCCTGGTATTGGTACAATGACAGACACATAGACTAGAGGAACAGAATTGAGAACCCAGAAATAGATCCATCAACCTATGGTCAGCTGATCTTTGACAAAGGGCTAAAATCCTTAAATGGGGAAGAGATGGTCTCTTTAACAAATGGTGCTGGCAAAACCGGATATCCATTTGTAGAAAAATGAAATAAGGTCTGTATCTCACACCACACACAAAAACTAACTCCAGATGGATTAAAGACTTACTTGTGAAATCTCAAACTATAAAGTTCCTCAAGGAAAAAATAGGGGCAAATTTGTTGTTGTTGGTGGTGGTGGTGGTGTTATGTGCCGTCGAGTCAGACCCAACTCATAGCGACCCCTCCTTGGGTTTCTGAGGAGGTATCACTACAGAAGTAGATTGCTCCATCTTCCTTCCGAGGAGTAGCTGGTGGGTTTGAACCGCCAGTCTTCTGGTTAGTAGTCAAGTGCCTAGTAGCCCTAATATATAGCATAAATAGACTATCAAACATAACCTAAAATGCAGAAGCAGCAGAAGAGAAACTGGATGAATGAATGGGACCTTCTAAAAATTAAATTTTCATATGCTTCAAAAGACTTCTCCAAAAAAGTCAAAAGAGAACCTACAGACTGGGAAAAAATATTTGGCAACAACATATCTGACAAGGGACTTATCCCTAGAATTTATAGAAAACTCCAACTCAATAACAAAAAGACAAACAATACAATTGAAAATGGGCAGAAGACATGAACAGACACTTCACCAAAGAGGATATTCAGGTGGCCAACAAACATATGAAGAAATACTCACAATCATTAGCCACTAGAGAGATGCAAATCAAAACAACAATGAGATACCATCCTGTCCCAGCACTAGAAGCAAAGTTCAACAAGACAGAAAATAACAAATGCTGGCAAGGATATGGAGAGATTAGGACTCTCATACACTGCTGGTGGGACTCAAATGGTACAACTAATGTGGAAAGCAGTACGGCAATTCCTTCAAAAGTTGGAATTAGAAATACCATTTGACCCAGTCATTCCATTACTAGGTATGTTTCCTAAAGAAATGAGATCCAGGACCAGAACAGGCTTATGGACATCCATGTTCATGGCAGCACTATTTATAATAGCAAAACGATGGTAACAACAACCTAGGTGCCCAACAGCAGAAGAATGGATAACCAAACTATGGTACATACACACAATGCAATTCTATGCAACCCGAAAGAGTAACTAACATAGAATCTGCAAAACACCACATAACACTGATGAACTTTGAGAACATTATGCTGCATGAAATAAGTCAATCACAGAAGGACAAATTATCGTATTAGTCCATGTGGTAGTTTTGTTTGTGTGTCAACTTGGCTGGGCCTGGTTGAGTGGGTGGGCAGCTGGTGGTAGTTATTCCCCAGGATGAGACTGGCAATCAGCTCCATGGTGGGATCTACCACAAGTAGCTGAGTAGCTGCCTTTGGTAATGTGGTCTGCTTCCTGTATTTAAGGAGAAGCCTTGGGAACGGTCTCTGGCCTACGGCACACTTGGACCCTACATGTAGCCATGTCATTGCTCAGCAGCCTGCTATGCTCTGCCGACCTTAGGACTTAAAATGGACTTAAGTTAATGGCCTGCCATGTGGTTGGTAACATCGGGACTGTGCCATTTTATTTATCAACCTTGGGCTTCTCAGCCTCAGCAGCCAGCAGCTGTCTGAATAAAGAAACACCTCTAGCTTCAGTGGGCTGGGACCTGGAGGCAGAGCTAGACCCCAAGGTTGAGGGGCTTTCACCCAGCCCCTAGAGCTTGGCACTTTGAACTTGGACTTACAGCCTCCAAATTGTAAGAATAAACTCCTGTTTGTTAAGGCCATCCATTTGTGGTATATTCCTGTCAGAGCGACACTAGGTAACCAGAACAGTCCATTATTGTAAAAAGTCAAGGAAAGGATTATTTATGGCAGGAAATTTTCTTTGCTGGTTACCAGGGGTGGGAGGGGAAAATGAACCTGGAAGAACAAGACATTTGAGGACATATGTTAGATAGGTAGAGACAAGTATTGATTTGGGTGAAGGAAAGGCAATGTACTAAATGTGATTGATCAACACGATGTCACTGAGGAAGAGGAAGACATAGAAAGGTGCATGGGAGGTCAGACAACAAAGAAACCTTTTGCACACAGAGTACTGCATTGTCAGTGATGGCAAACATTGATATAAGGGTGGATAGAGGGGTGGACAGACTGAACGATCAGGTATGTCTATGCAGGGGGCAGTGTGCCCATGACCATGTATAGGGTTGGCAGACAATGTTTCTACAAGTGTATAGGTATGTTCTATAACAATATTCAGGTATATAGTAGAGCTGACAAGAGACAAGGTTGTAGTCACTTCTTGGCCACAGTCAGCTCCCCAGAGGGAATGAGCAGATGGATCTGTGGGCTCGGGACCATGGTCACAGGGAATGTCAAGCTCAATTGGTATAACATACTACACAAAAACATTGTTCCACATCCTACTTTGGTGAGTAGCGATTGAGATCTTAAAAGCTTGCAAGCTGCCATCTAGATGCAACGATGGGTCTCTCCTCATCCAGAGCAAAGAAAAATGAAGAAAACCAAAGACGAATGGAAACAATTAATCCAAGCGACTAGTACACCATACAATCCTCAGCCTATACAACTATGAGACCAGAAAGCTACATGGTGCCCAGCTACCACTATCAACCACTCAGATGGGGATCTACATAGGAGATCTTGGATAGAGCAGGAACAACGTGGAACAAAACTCAAAAATTATTTAAAAAAAAAAAAGGCGGGGGGGGTGGGGACACTAGATTGACTGGTCTAGTAGAGCCTCATGGAATCCTTGAGATTATGGCCCCTAGCTGCCCTTCAGGTCTGGACCTTCAGGTCTGGAATTTAGCCTACTTCTGTAGCTTCCAGTCAAACAAAAGACAGGCATATGAGGTGAACATTTACATAGGCAGATACACTCCTTTGAGAGATCAATCATGGGAGAATAGAAAGGCTGTGTATGCACAGGGAGACAGCTTGGGGGTCAGGAGTGCATGGGAAGGAATGACACAGGGAAGAGGTAACTATGGGGAGGATGTGAGAAGAGAGCTGCTATAGGAAATTGATGTCAATGTCATGAGACACAGTGTATATGAACTGCTGTATGGAAGATGAATTTGCTCTGTAAAATTTCACCCAAATCACAGTAAAAATTAAATACACACACACACACACACGCACACATATATATAGTTGACATGTAACAGGTCTAACTAAGGACTTGTCCAAACTGGCCTCTTTATGTGGTAATTTAAAAATTTGTAGTAAGATTAATTTATAAATATATGGGTTTAGAACCACAACCTTCCCCATAAAAAGATTTCTTTACTGAATGTTAATTCTTTTTAAAGAATTAAATAGCATTAACATCCAGGGCATGCATGCATTCTTGGTAGGAGAAATATTGTCCCCAAGGGGATAAAAGGAACAAAAACTGTCTTGGATAGTGCAATGATTAGAGACCCTTCAAAGGGCAACAATAGAGTATACAGTTCATCTGTGGCATTAAAATTGCATGGGGCAGGGTTGTAATTAGGAAGAAAAAAAAAAAAAAAACCATAGATGAGATAGCCTATCTTACTGTTGTTGTTGTTGTTATTATGTGCCGTCGAGTTGGACCCAACTCAGAGTGACCTCTCCTTGGGTTTCCGAGGCAGTATCACTACGGAAGTAGATTGCCCAACCTTCCTTCCAAGGAGTGGCTGGTGGGTTTGAACCACCAGCCTTCTGGTTAGCAGTCAAGTGTCTTAGGCACTATGCTACCAGAGCTTTGCTTATCTTTCTGTTGTTGTTGTTGTTGTTATGTGCCGTGGAGTTGGCCCCAACTCAGAGTGACCTCTCCTTGGGTTTCCGAGGCAGTATCACTACGGAAGTAGGATTGCCCAACCTTCCTTCCAAGGAGTGGCTGGTGGGTTTGAACCACCAGCCATCTGGTTAGCAGGCAAGTGTCTTAGCCACTATGCTACCAGACTAGCAACACTAAAATTGATGTATATATCATACTTTCAAATTAAAGGTCTTTGTAATGAAGATATCAGCCCTATATAGATATAATCCACTCTCCCTGCCTAGAAACTAAAAACCAGGTGGAGTTTTCTTCTTGCTGAGTGACCTAGAGGCAGCTCTTCTTAATATCCAGGTAAAAGCATGCATTTCATGGCGGAGTATCCACCTGATTCTCACCAACAACCTGGAAGAATGAGTCATTTGAGGACATATGAGCCTTTTTTAAGGACTCATCACAAATAATGGGAGAAACATTCCCGTTACATGACAAGCATTCAGGTATGGAGTAGGATTTGACTGATGATTACAAAAAAGAGGAGTCATCAAGCTATCCCCACCTAGTAACTATCGACTCATCTGGAGCCAAATGAGGAACAACACCCTAACTCCTCCATCAGCACTCCATCCAGATAGGTCATGACAACACCCTATCCCCTCCATCAGGACAGTTCATGACAACACCCTAACTCCTCTACCTGTACTCTATCCAGAGAGGTCATATGGAATATTCTCTTTTATCATTATGAAAATGAAAATTTATTGCATTTATTTACAGTTTTGCCAGAAAGAAAAACTTTAGTGATTTAAAATCTAGAACAGATACAAAAAACTGGCTTACATGATTTTTCTGATCTCTCCAAATCAGCCGGTGTGTACTGAGAAGGAGGGTTCCAGCATCAAACTTTATCTAGAAAGACAAGATCATCACAAAATATTAATAATATGTTACTTAATGTTGTCCACATGTTCTTGTGACTTACACAATACTAAGTTAATCATATGAATAAACATTTTAGAATTAAGTTTATCACAAGTTAAAAAGAAGCAATGCTACACACTTCATAAGTATAAGCTATATATATAGCCTTGATGGAGTTAGGGACAAACTGTAAACAAAATAGTGTGTAACAATAGGGTAATGCGTAAATGAATTCTGATACATCCATAATAGAGAATCCATGCAGAGGTTAAAAAGAATGATGATTAAGAGTTAAATGGGATATTATGGAACTCTAAGACAGAGTTAATGAGAAAAAAAAGCAATTTGAAGCATATCATACATAATCATATATATACCCCCAAGCAACATGTGTGTCATATATACACATATACACACACATACTGTAACTTCATGCTAATAACACACTCATTATATGTTCTTCCCAACTGCACAACTCTCCTTGTGTGTTTTTTATCCTAAGCACACTATGCTAATTTTTTTTACATGTTGCTGACTTCAATTTCTATTTCTGATCACATGAAATGTCACTTAAAATAGGTATTGCTTTTATATTACTTGAAATATAGGCCAAAAATATTTACTGGTTGTCATGGGTTGAATTGTGTCCTCCCAAAATTTGTATCAACCTGGCTGGGCCATGATTCTCATTGGTTTAGCAGTTATGTAATGACACCTCATGATGTTAATCTGATGCGGTAAGCCAGGCAGGTGTAAGGATGAAGGGTGGGATGCAACACCCTTAGTACCTATCACTGCCATGATCCAGTGTAAGAGGAGTTTCCCTGAGGTGTGGCCTGTAGCACCTTTTATCTTACAAGAGATAATAGGAAAGGGAACGGAGCAGAAAGAGGGGGGACTTACTACCAGCCATCTGGTGAGCAGTCAAGTGCCTTAGCCCCTATGCTACCAGAGCTCCCATGATCCAGTGTAAGAGGAGTCCCTGAGGTGTGGCCTGTAGCACCTTTTATCTTACAAGAGATAATAGGAAAGGGAACGGAGCAGAAAGAGGGGGGATTTACTACCAAAGGAGCCAAGAACAGAGTGCATCCTTTGGACACAGGGCCCCTATGCAGGGATCCTCCTAGGACTAAGTGACACAGAGAGAGAAGCCTTCCTCTACAGCTGGCACTCAAATTCAGACTTCAAGTTTCCTAAACTGTGAGAGAATGAATTTCTGTTTATTAAAGAGATCCACTGTGGTATTTCTGTTACAGCAGCACTAGAAAACTGAGACACTGGTAGATCAAAAGTAATATACAAAATTTAACTTTTCTAACTTCTTGAGAGAATATCATTGTCATTCTTGTGAATGGAGCAGTGGGGTGCCACGGTGAAATCAAAGACTATGAATGCATGATGTTACTACTACAAAAGTAAGATTCTGGGACTATTTTTAAACACATAAGCAAGAGATTAAAGAAAATGAACAGAGCAATATAACTTACCTGTAACATGTCAGGACTGGTAAATAAACCAAAATTCACTTATGGAAATGTTGTAAGACACGTGTGGTATATGCATGGCTGTGCTATGCCAGAACTTTTTTAACTTAATTTCATCATTTCCATGTGTTGTATGTATGGGTGTGTTATTTTTGAAAATAAGAGATAGAAATATAAACACACGCACACACATATATGTATATGTAACATCTATATATAAATAATAGGGAAAGACCTAAAAAGAATATGATCTCTTAATGATTATCTCAGAAAAAGAGTAAGGAAGTGGAAGGTAGGGAAGCAAAGAGTTCTTTTTTACTATATACATATTGACTAAATTTTATCTTTTTTTTGTCTGTCAGTTTGTTGTACTGTGTTGGCTTGCGTGTTGTTGTGATGCTGGAAGCTATGCCATTGGTATTTCAACTACTAGCAGTGTCACCCATGGTGGACTGATTTCAGCGGAGATGTAGCCACTGAAAATACAGGTTGCTGAAAACCTTATGAGTAGCAGGGAAACACTGTCTGATACAGCACAGGAAGATAAGTCCATCAGGTTGGAAGGCACTCAAAATAGAACTGGAGAAGAGCTGCCTTTGAGGCGAACTTAATGACCTGGATGGAGTAAAGCTTTCTGGACCTTCATTTGCTAATGCGTCATGATTCAAAATGAGAAGAAACAGCTGCAAACATGCATTAACAATCAGAACATGGAATGTGCAGAGAATCAATCTAGGAAAATTGGAAGTTGTAAAAAATGAAATAGAATGCATGAAGATCAATATCCTAGGCATTAGTGAGCTGAAATGGACTGGTTTTAGCCATTTTGAATCAGACAATCATATGGTCTCCTATGCTGGGAATGACAAATTAAAGAAGAATGGTGTCACAATCATCATCAAAAACAACATTTCAAAATCTATCCTGAAGTATAATACTGTCAGTGACAGGATAATATCCATAGGCCTACAAGGAAGGTAAATTAATAAAACTATAATTCAAATTTATGCACCAACCCCTAAAGCCAAAGATGAAATAACAGAAGATTTTTACCATCTTCTGCAGTCTGAAATTGATCAAACAGGCCATCAAGATATATTGATAATTACTAATGATTGGAATGCAAAAGATGTAAACAAAGCAAAAGCATTGGTAGTTGGAAAACACAGCCTTAGCGACAGAAATTACTGCAGAGATCGCATGATAGACTTCTGCACGACCAATAACTTATTCATTGCAAATGCAGTTAAAAACAACATAAAGAGGGACTATACACCTGGATCTCACCAGACGGAAAACATAGGAATCAGATCAACTATAACTGTGGAAAGAGATAATGGTGAAGCTCTGTATCATCAGGGACCAATTGTGGAACATACCATCAATTGCTCACATGCGAATTTAAGCTGAAGGTGAAGAAAATTAAAAACATGTCCATGAGAGCTAAAATACAACCTTGAATATACACCACCTCAATTTAGAGACCATCTGAAGAAAAGATTTGATGCATTGAACACTGGTGGTTGAAGACCAGACAAGCTGTAAGATAACATCAAGGACATCATACATGAAGAAAGCAAAAGGTCATTAAAAACAGAGGAAAGGAAAAGAAAACAAAAATGGATGTCAGAAAAGAATCTGAAACTTCCTCTTGAACAGAGTAGTTAAAGCAAATGGAAGAAATGATGAAATAAAAGATCCAAACAAAAGAGTTCAAAGGGCAGCTTGAGAAGACAAAACAAAGTATTATACTGAAATGTGCAAAGACCTGGAGTTAGAAAACCAAAAGGAAAGATCACACTTGGCATTATTCAAGTTGAAAGAAATGAAGAAAAAATTCAAGCCTCAAGTACTGAAGGATTCTATGGGCAAAACACTGAGTGATGCAGGAACCATCAAAAGAAGTTGGAAGGAATATAGAGTCACTGTACCAAAAAGAATTGGTCAACATTCAACCATTTCAGGAGGTAGCATACAATCAAGAACTGATAAGAAGGAAAAAATCCAAGGTGCACTAAAGGAATTGGTGAAAAACAATGTGTGGCAGTTAAGGTTGTATGTCAATATGTCTGGTCAGTGATTTTGAGTGGGCTGACAGCTGGAGTAGTTATTCCCCATGATGAGACTGGATATGGTATAATCACTTCATGGTGGAATCTGCTGTGAGCAGCTAATTAGTTGAAGGGCTATTCCTTCTGGGGTGTGGCCTGCTAACTCTGTATATGGAAAAGCCATGGGAAAGTTCTCTAGCTTTTTGTTCATTTTTGGGATCCTGCATATAGCCTGTCATCATCTCCTGTTCCTGGATTTGAACCAGTGACCTGCTATGTTACCTGCCAATCTTGGGATTGTTGCCTTTGCAGCCTATGAGCCAGCAATCTAGCATTTTGCCCCGCTAATCATGGATTTGTCAGCCTCGGCAGCCAGCAGCTGCGTGAGTCAGGAAAAGCCTCCAGCTTGCTTCAGTGGGCCTGGAAGGCAGAGCTAAAGCCCAAAGTCAAAGGGTCTAGAATCCAGAGAGAAAAACTATTCTCCTAGAGCTGGCACTCTGAATTGAGACTTCCAGCCTAGTCTTTCTTCAGAGCCAGCATTCTGAATTCAGACTTCAAGCCTCCTAAACTGTAAAAGAATAAATTTCTGTTTGTTAAAGCCATGTACTTGTGGTATTTCTGTTACAGCAGCACTAAAGAACTAAGACATAAGGCTCCAGGAATTGACAGAAAACCCAATGAGATATTTCAACAAATGGATATAGAGCTGGAGGCAATCACTTGTTTATGCCAAGAAATTTGGAAGATGGCTACCTGGCCAACTGACTGGAATAAATCCGTATTTGTGCCCATTCCAAAGAAAAGTGATCCAACAGAATGTAGAAAACATCAAGCAATATCATTAAGATCATACACAAGTAAAATTTTGCTGAAGATAATTCAAAAATGGTCGCAGCAGTATAATGACAGGGAACTGCCAGAAATTCAAGCCAGATTCAGAAGAGGGCTTGAAACAAAGGATATCACTGCTGATGTCAGATGGATGCTGACTGTAAGTAAAGAGTACTAGAAGGATGCTTATTTGTGTTTTATTGATTATGCAGAGGCATTCAACTGTGTGGATCATAACAAATTATGGATAACATCATGAAGAATGGGAATTACAGGAGGCGGGGCAAGATGGCGGACTAGGCAGAAGGATTGCACAGACCCTCTTCAACAAAGAAAAGGGAAACCAATTAACACAGACACAGA